CCAGGTAACCCAGGACGCCCACCACAGCAGCCATGCGACCCTGTCACACCTCCTCCATGCAAGCCATGCCCACAAGGACCTCCTGGACCTCCAGGACCACCTGGACCTGATGGAGATGCTGGACCAAACGGACAACCTGGAGCTCCAGGAAATGATGCCCAACCTGGTCAGCCTGGTCCAAAGGGACCACCTGGACCTAACGGAAACCCAGGAGCCCCTGGTGCACCAGGACAGCCTGGAGCACCCGCTGTTTCGACCCCACTCGTCCCCGGAGAACCTGGACCAGCTGGAAGTGCTGGACCTCAAGGACCACCTGGACCCAACGGACAGCCTGGACAACCTGGCCCAGCTGGTGAGTATTAAAATTGTTACACTATAAAAACAGTGAGTTTTTATCTGCACATGTCAAAAACTATTCGTTTCAGGACAACCGGGACCCAAAGGACCCAACGGACCCAATGGACAGCCCGGAGCCGATGGAAACCCAGGTGCACCAGGACAGTCAGGACAACCCGGAGGACCTGGAGAACCTGGAATCTGCCCCAAGTACTGTGCCATCGATGGCGGAGTTTTCTTCGAAGATGGAACTCGCCGTTAAGTATACAACGGTGTATTTCACTATTTCCCTCTCAGAGAAAACTAGCAATAAAAATTCTTTTACAATGTTGTTTGAAAACTTATAGATCAAAAGCGTTGTTTAAGGCAATATGTGAATGTGATTTAAAAATTCAAAAATTCTTTCCGGCACACACGCTATTTACGATCCAACCCGCGGTCCTCTTCCACTTCTGATTGTGGGGCTGTTGGTTATTACATGTGGCTTGTACCTACACTGACTAGCGATGGTCAGATTTTCATTCTAATTTAACCGAACGCCTTTTGGCTCTACCCCTTCTCCATGCCAAATCTTCACCACCAGAATCCTACCATTTCTCTCCTAGCCCTTGGCGATTGGAATAAAATTAGACTTACTCAGAATCCGACTATGGTATGCTCCGCTGTGCGTGGGTCAGTGTGTGCTGTGTTGTGTTGTGTCGTATGAGTGTGTGCCGTGTGTGTGGGTGCGTGTGTCGTGTATGTGTGTGAGTGTGTGTGATCAAAAATTCTGGACCTTTGTTCCTATGAACCCATAGCGTTTAAATTTGGTAGGAGAACGGGCAGCCCACTGACGGTAGGTGACAGGACTAGGCTCCA